CGTCGGTCCCAGAAATTAATAGTAAAATTTCGCGCTGGGATGCCGCCGCCGATGAACGCTGTCGTGTTTGAAATGAAATGAAATGAAATGAAAATATCTTTATTCAAGTAGGCTATTACAAGCACTTTTGAATCGTCCAAAAAACTTTTTTCCCCTACCACTTGTTCAGGACGTCTTTTAGCTGACAAGAAGAACAAGCGAAAGAAACTTATCAGCTTTTTATCATAAGTAATGACATTTACATAAATCATGTCATTACCAAAATAATATGTATTATCAATTTATCACAATAGTAAATACAACTTTCAAAGTCTGTAGGACATAAGTTGAACATATAATTAGTCTTTATAGAACAAAGCGAAGGCTATTAATTCCATGCATTGCGATCCTTAAAATAATCATCAACTTTATAATAGCCTTTACTCACAAGTATATTCTTTACATGAATTTGAAATTTATTTATGGGTAGGTCAATTACATTTTGTGGAACTTTATTGAACATAGCAATACATTTACCCAGAAATGATCCTCTGGTTTTTTGAAGTCTGAATCTTGGAACGGCAAGTTTATCTTTATTTCTTGTGTTAAGATTATGAACACTACTTTTTTTTGTGAAGGAATCGTAATGTTTTCTTGTGTACATAATATTCTCATAGATGTATTGAGAGGCAACAGTCAGAATATTTATTTCTTTAAATATTTCTCTGAGAGATTCCCTAGACCGTAAATTATATATAGCACGGACAGCTCTCTTTTGTAAAATAAAAACATCCTGAATGCTAGCCGCAGAACCCCATAACAATATACCATACGTCATTACACTATGAAAATAACTAAAATATACCAATCTTGCCGTTTCAACATTTGTCAAGACTCTAATTTTCTTAACAGCAAAAGCTGCAGAACTCAGTCTACTTGACAATCTATCAATATGAGGATCCCATTGCAGTCGGGAATCTAGTATAATACCAAGGAACTTTGTCGATTCTACTAACTCAACTTTTTCACTATTTACATTTATAAGTGTACTGACATGCCTCACATTAGGTAATGCAAACTTTATGCATTTCGTTTTATTTGAATTGAGCTTTAAATTATTATTATCAAACCACTGTAGAACGTTGTCGAGAGCATTATTTACATCGTCAAAACAATCATTACCCCTCTCAACTTTAAACAGTAAAGAGGTGTCATCTGCAAATAATACTGTCTCGCACAAATTCTTCGTAAAGTGAGGAAGATCATTTATATAAATTAGAAAAAGCAATGGTCCTAATATCGATCCCTGAGGTACGCCCATAGTAACTGGTGCCCCTGCAGATTTCGCTTCATTGATTACTACCTTTTGAATTCTAGCGGAAAGATATGATCTTATTAGATGAAGTGAATTTTTCGTCACACCATAATGTTCTAATTTCCCCAACAGTGTTTCATGACTAACGCAGTCGAATGCTTTTGATAGATCACAAAAAATGCCAATAGCATCTTGTTTATTCTCCCAAGCATCATAGATATGCCTCAGAAGTGCAATTCCAGCGTTTCGCCCCTTGCGCCCGTTACACATGCGGCGCTCGAGAGGATGACGCTGTGCTACTACTATATATCTATTTGTAGTTTATTATCGTCATAAAGTAATTTATGAATAAAAAATACCGAATTAATAATAAATATTCTTATTACCTTATCTTCCTATACTGTTTATGGAGTGACAGAAAGTACAATATAATGATTATTATTGTGGGTTTGCATTTAATTTCACCACGGTGTATTTCATTAACTAGTAACGAATAAGAGAGTTTTTCAACTTTATAAATATTAAAATAAAACGATTTAATGGAAGTTTCAAATATAACATCTTTATTGATAATTTTTTTTAATAATGGCGTCTGCAAAATTGTGCTTGGATCCATGGGCAGAGAAATTGTGCAGTCAAAACTCTCATTTAAAATTAAAAGTAAATCTTATAAGGCACCTAGGGAAAGGTAATATTTTTAGTTTTTCTCTTAGTATAATATTTTTTGTTAATAAATCAGAATTATCATCTTCGTCCAAGCTCAAAGTAAAACTACCAAAATCGAAAAAAAAATATCAAAGTCTTCCTCATCAAAATTTATTCATAAGGTACGGAACCGTTCTGATATGCTAACGTGAAATTCACACAATTATATAGTGTTAGAAATATGTATTTAACAGTGTCATTGAAGAGTTACCTACAGCTTATATTCTTACCAAAACTTTTATATCATGATCGTACAAAACTGCTGTACAAACTTTAACTATATATAAGAGTTATACAACGCATATAGAGTTTGGTGTTACTACACTCTTATCTAACTCCGTTGTAGAACTAATATAACCTTATGATTTATAAGGGTCGCCAATATAGAATATTTATAGCAATAAGAGATACAGAGAGTTTATGAAGACCTTTAAAACGCTTTTGACGTTGCAAGCCGAAACGTTATAAGTATATAAGCAGCCACCGCTACTGCAATAACTGTAGATAAATTATAATTGCGTTATTTACGATTCTTATACCACCGCAGGAGTTAAGGTTATCTTATAAGTAAACTGTACCACCTCTAGTGACAACCGAATCCATTATAAATCAATAGTATTACTCTAAGCTTTAAAATAACCTGCAACCAGCACCTAATTGTTTGTTGGGAGTAATATAGATAGATAGATAGAATATTCTTTATGGCACACACAAAGACAATATACACTTATATGACAAAAACAGGAGACGTACAATTGGAGGCCTTATCACTAAAAGTGATTTCTTCCGGGTAACCTTGGGATGGAGTTAAATATAAAAGACCTAATGATGAGGTAGTGGATGGTGTACAAATAAACAATTTATAAATATACATAATTGACAATTGTTTTATACTTAATTATAATTTACCTACATATACTATAATATAATAAATATTATCATATAAAATATAATACATATATAAACATATATAATATCTATATACATACTTTCATGGACAGGTAGTGCTCTCTGACAAGTTTCCTAAATATATTAAGAGAATTTGCTTTTCTAATCGACAAAGGTAGCGCATTCCATAGGCGTACACCGTGGACGGTAAAAGATTTATCGTAGTACCTAGTGGAATGCATTGGCATTTCCAGCCGCAGGTTTTCTGATGATCTCAAGAAGCGGAGATGGGATTCTTTGACGAATTTGAAACGATCTTTGAGATAAGAAGGGGTAGTGGGATTAAAAAGTATATTAAATAACATGTTTAAAATATGTGCATTCCGGCGAAATCGAATTGGCAGCCACTTGAGTTTCTCACGAAATTCGGAAACGTGATCATATTTGCGTAGTCCAAATAAAAATCTTATGCAAAAATTTTGAAGGCACTCAAGCTTGTTCAGCTGCATTTCTGTAAGGTCAAGATAGCTGACGTCGGCGTAATCGAGAATAGGCATTAGAAGAGATTGTGTGAGCGCAATTTTAGTGGCAGTAGGCAAGAAATTGCGTAGCCTTCTTAAAGACCCAGCAGATGCAAAAAGTTTGCGACTCACTTCTTTGAGTTGCACATCCCAATTTAAGTTTTTATCAATACATACACCTAAATTTCTAACATGATCACTAAAAGGAGATTCCATCGAAACTATTTGCGGGATCTGTTCAAACTTTACTTTAGCTCTAAGCCTTGAGCTGCCCACTACGACAACTTGAGTTTTGGTGGGATTCACCCAAAGCCCATGTTTGCGGCTCCATTCAGAAATCTGAGCTAAATCTTTATTAAGACTTTCAATGGCAGAGTTAATATCTTCAGCGGGGGCTTTCGTATATATTTGCAAATCGTCTGCATAAAGATGGTAGGAAGAAAGTAACTGACAGGAAATTGTGTTAATATAAACAGCAAAAAGAAGGGGAGATAAAACGCCACCCTGCGGCACCCCGGCACCCAAGTAGCACAAAAAGCTGAATAAAGGGTGAATAATGGCATTTTTAGATGCTTTAAGCAGCATGAACTTGCCATAAAAAAGAATTTTAAGCGCTTAAAATTCCATTACAATGCTGATTTGGGCACAAATCTTAGTGCCTTAGGCTTACGCGGGTGCCAAAAGGCATTAAAATAGCATTATAGCTGTATAGTAGTATTTAAAAATGAAAAAACAACTAAAAAACCACCGCCACTAGATGGCGACTCTAGCAAAAGTTTATTTTTGCAGGAAACGAATGGACCAAAGATAGTCGTTTCCGTTCTGTTTAATTAACTTTTTCAAAAAATTGAAATTTGCAAAGTTCGAAACTTAAATATCAATACTAAGACGAAAAAGTTCAAATACAATATGAGTTGTTTATTAAGTTTGTGTTGTTTATTAAGTTTTGCAAACTTAACTTACAAACTTACTTATATTCCAAGAAAACCATGAAAGTACCGTAGCGACATCTTGCTTGATTATAATGTTTTTTTAAATACTTCCTCATTAAGAAATTGTCAAACCCTGTCATACTACAGGCACAGTATGAGAATGACACAGTATAGAAACTAAGCCTATTTGATAAAATAAATACCTACGCTCCATTGAAACCATAGGGTTGTCGTTTTGAATGTTTCTTTTACAAAATATAAAAGGATTTCTGACATTATCAATCAATCGAATTGTAATAACTAATTAACAAACAAACAATATACATACACATTTGTTCAGACGGTGATATCTACTTATATTATTCTATTATCACCACATGATATAGAAATAACATATGCGAAAACTGGGCGGTTAAAATATATTTCCAGATCATACAAAAATCTTATTTTTTATATCATATAAGCCTACTCCTTTCCTTAATCTTTTCTTCATTTTTTAAATAAAAACGATCGTGGAACGTATAACGTGACCCCTCATCTCGACGCGCTACGCGTTACTGAGCGTCCTGTTAGGTCCACTTAGGCGGCTCGTCGGTGAGCGTGATTATGTGCGTGCGATTTCGAACGCTTGTAGGCAGTTTCACCACTGTCTACTTATATTTACACTGTGCTACAGGGAAGCTTCTACAAGCGTGTGATGTCATCGGAGTTGCAACAATTTACAAAGCGTTTTCGTTCCAGATAAATATTTTATTTTGCATAATCTGCAAAAAAATCATAATGAAGTATATTTCGTTTAAAATTAAAATCGTTTTATTCCACTTTAGCAACACTTCATTAAAAAGTGAACGTTACTTGACGGCAACTTTACTTTACTCTTTGCTTGACGGCGGCGATTTGTTTGACAGGTCAGCCACTAGCCAGCTTTGAAGCGCTTTTTAGCTTCTGGAGTAGCGTATTTTGGATTTATTTTGCAATAACTCTTGTTTTTGACGTTGTAAATAGTATTTACCTTGATTAATTCCTAAGATAGTCTTTATTAAAGTGCACTTACAGTGTTACATAAACTGTAGAGCTCTAATCGTGTCGGCAGACCCGATGTGTTTAACTACTTAGTACGTCAGTGAACGAATGGTGGCTGTAAGATAATGGATGTGGATGCTCCTAACATATTGAAAAGGTGCAGCAGTGCACCCCTAATCAATGAGGCAGCTTCTACAACAGTCACATCGCCAACGACTAATACTGCACCCAGGTAAAGTGCTGAGGTAACCGACACGCCTCCGAAAAGCATCGAGGTTTTTGTTACTAAGGTCTCTGCCTATTTTTGACAAGTGTTGTGGTAACTCGTGGGTGCCGTGGCTGTATTTTAATTACCATGATGATTAATTATTTAGTTAAATCATATTGGTGTTATATTGGGAGTGTGGGCCAAGCAAAAAATAGGTATACATGGAATTGTATAGGTATTTAGAAAGTGCGTAATATTAGTAAATTCCATTGAATGGCATAATTTACAACATCAAGTTCATTAAGTCATTAGAACCTCATCATTTATATAATCACTATTTAATGAGTTAACTAGTAATACCTTTATTTAATCAAATTCATTATTCTAGTTGGTGCATTATGCATTTGTTTCCTTGTGAGTTAAGTGGCTGCAGTAATTTAAATCATTGCAAATATTTCTGAATAAAGTGTTACTAAGAGGACAACCCAAAGCTTATTCTATTTATATAGATATTGAAGGTATGCACTATGATAATAAATATTCACTTGATAATAATTCTTATATGCTTGTGATATAATTTGATAACATGACATAATAATTAATCTGTATTTAAAGTCTATTGAATAGTGTATTATACAGAAAGATGTAATAATCTTTTTATATTGTAAAATACAAATTTACAAAAATACAAATTGTCACTAGTGTAGTGTAAGTTGTAAAAGTAATTTATCATTATTTTTAATTCCAATATTGTTTTTAAAATTGCTTTGTGCATTTGATACTAGTGAAACTCACAATTTCCAACCCAGGCCTTAGTTTAACATTAAAAAGTCAAGAGTTAAAGTATAGTAAATTAGTTTTTTATCCATCTTTTTGATATCACACTTATAGGATACATATTATTCTTATAGGCTGATAGGTATATATCAGAATCTGTGATATTAATTTGCCAATACTAATAATCTGAAAATAATCTGATACAGGCTTAGTGAGTTGCCTTCCATCAAATAATTCAAGAAGTTGTGTCCAGAATATTATATTTTATATATAATAAATATTTATAAAGTACATATAAGTAATTTTGTTAGTTTCTAAATCCTCACCTTTAAATATCTTTCTTTTTTATAAATATTATCATTTCATATCTGCTGATGTATATTGATGCATCTTATTTACATTTTTATCTGCAGTTAGTTTACTCTGTGGTGAATTCAGTGAGACATCTACTATTTGTAGTGACAAAGAATTTAAAAATGGCAAGATATAAATATTTATACAAATGTATGTCTGCTGTTATTGAAACATGGTGTTATTTTATGTTATTGTTTATCATGTCATTATAAGTCCGTGATTACTTTTGTATGTAGAACAGTACATCATTCTGTACAACTATTATGATTCCGCCACTTAAATTCTAACCTTAATAAAATGAAGCTAGAGTTCAAAATCAGTAGCAGTAATTAGACATATTGTGGTAACCTGATATGCTAATGTGGGTACTAGTTTTTCAATTATGATATTTTAATTATTTTATTTTGTAAGAAATTAATTTTGAAGAAATAGGGACATTAAAATGTCATTAAAAATTTCAACATAGGTGAATGGGTCATAATTACTTTATGTTGTATTGCATGAAATATAATCAAGGGTCATATTACAATTTGATTTAATATCTGTGTCACATGTCACATAATTGTGGTGTTGCAAAAATTTTTAGCAGCTTATGTTGCACATGTTATAACTTTATTAAAACAATATTGGTTTATATACAAAACAAGTTGTTAATATATCCAATGTGACTGTCATTACTTTATTTGGAGTGTAACTATTAGAGCTGGTAAGTCAATTTAACTCATTTCTTGTCAGCCTTTAGATATCCTGAATGGTTAGCAGGGAGAGGGATTGAATTATTCAAATGTGTTTTCAATTAGTTTATTTGAAAAATTTAAGTTAATGAAAATGTTTCTACAAAGTATGTAACAAAAATAATATATTATTTTCAAATGAGATATTGTCTATAGCACGCCAGGTTTAACCTGGCCCACCTGCTTCCACCTCATTAGTATTCTCCTGATTTAAGGTGACCATAACAGTTATGTTGGGTCTGCCTATTTAAAATAATAAATATCTTTTTTTTATAACAATTTTTATTAAGTTGCTCTTATCCATGTAAATTTTCACACACAATGATGAAATTATTAGGCAGAATTATTTTAATAAGTATACAATTTTACCTAATGTTATGATTTCTCTTTGGTGTAAAATTATGGTCATAGGATTGGCAAAATATCAAGGCTCAAATATGTATAACATGCAACTTTCTAAAGTATTTTAAATTAAAAATTGTGGGTGGTTATTCCTGAACAAAAAAATATATTATGTAAATAAACCTCATTATAAATCATTGTTATTTGGAAAAAATATTCGGCAAATAATCTTTAAACTTTTTAACCACATACAATTTATTTTTTATTTAATTACATTCTGATTTCTTATTACTGAACCGAATTTGTCAACATGTTCATTATGTCTAGATAAACTTAAAAAGAAATAGTTTGAACTTAAAAAAAGTGATATATAATAATTATAATACTTATTTCAAAAGCGAATTATTCAAGAAAATGCTATTAAAGTCTGGTGGAAGTATTCTGTAGGTTATTAATTAAATGGAAGGCGCCTGACCTCTCATAGTATTTTTTTGAACTATTATTAATAACTATTATTTATATATTTTTTTTGTTGGACATAGGCTATAATTTACACAGGCGAAGTCGCGGCGAAACATCTAGTTTGAAAGAAATTGGTTTACAATTCAAAAAGAAATCGATTGGCATACCTAATTTCATAAAGAAAATATACATGCTCCTTGAACATAGAAAATACTCCTTTCGGATTTTGAATAAATTCCAAAAACGGAATCTTTTGGCTGAGATAATGAAATGCAATACATATCATCAAAATATTTAGGTGATATATGTTGAAAAGCGTATTTTGTTTTGTTATGAAAGGAAAACTACTTAGTCAATTTCGATAAAATTTAAATGGTCCATTAACCTGTCGTATACAAGAAGAATTTTAAAAATTGTTCAACAATTGGCGGAAATATCGGTGAATATACAATAAAAAAAAACATCGTCGTCGAACATATAACCTCCTCCGGATGTTGAAGTCTGTTAATGAATGTTGCTGTGAGCTAGTTTTTTCTTGGATAGTCCTTTCTATGGTTATGTTAATAAGATGTTTTATAATGCCAAATTGAAAATGAAGTGTTCTATTGTTGCAGAAATACATTTTTCAGTATGCTGTCCAACAACAATTTATCGAGGATGCGCAGATACAGTGGAAGCAGCTTTAGTCCGCTGTCGGCGCCCGTTACTTTAACCGTAAGTTTATATCGAGTTATTGATAACAGACACAGATAACTTGTGATTAAAGATTAATGATTCAAAAAGCAAACACGTGCTAAACCATGGCACCAACACGACTGAAATGCATCGCCAGGTTTGACAAACGTGTATTTCGTGCATCCTTTGATTCGCGGCAAAACTTACACCGACGCTGATCACTGACAAGCACAAAATTAGAAATTACAAGAAATTTAAACCACTTTGAGTGACATATGGGGACGATATACCTTTAAAAACTCACACACACACGCAGAGAGAGAGAGAGATACACATATACATACACCATAGTTATCATGTGATGTAATTTATATATATGTATTACTACATTTTAAATATTATAATACTTACATTTTCTTTGTTAACTGCCTTCATTATGATTATAATTAATATTATTGGTAAACATAATAAGTTTCTATAATTGGCGTCAATGCTGCATATTTATTTTTGTATTAAAATAACTAAACTGCTGTTGAAACTTTGTTAAATGAATAAATAAGTAAATGATGCGTACGCGTGTATACGCAGGAACTGCCCGGCCATAAAGGCCAACTAAGCAACTGCTTAGGGTGCCCTTATTTGGGGAGTGTTTCCATTCTCCCTATTCGTTTTGTTTAGATTCCATCCATAGGAAAAGCCTGAGCCCCAGCAGTGGGGGCTGGTGATGATAATGGCATGGCAAACAGATTGTATTTACTCTAATATTTGAACCTTTAAAAATGCAGCACATTAAAAAATTGACTTGTTGACTGTATTCAAAAGTACATTTTTAAACCAGCGTCAGCACAGTACCTAAGGAGCTTTTTGTCATTGGCAAAATTACCCCATTTATTCGGTGTACCTACATTATTTTGTTGTGTTTTTTATGAGCGTCGAACTAGTGTTTTGCCTGCCAAGTTTCATTCTACCGGCGTTGTGTATACAATCCAGTACAATGAGTTTTTGTGATCGCAGCAAAACTCTTGGGCGCCACGTCTGACGCCGCGCGTGAATCAGCTCCGCGCGGAGGAGTGCGCCGACGTGAGCAACACGCGGGAGGTGGCCCACGAGCGCGAGGTGCACTCCGCCATGCAGATGGGACAGTCCTGCGAGGACCTCACGCTAGTCGCCGGCCTGCCGCAGTCGCCTACCAGGATCCACAGGTATACATTATCACGATGAGCAAAAATCTGATATTGTAAATATCAAAATATCGGTTATTCGATATTTTTCCGATATATGTCATGCATATGAAAAGTTGCGATTTTTAAGTCGCTAGTGGCTGTATTTAATATTCAAGCCAATGTTGCCAGTGTCACCATTCAACAGAATTTCCTAGCTGAGACTCAATACTCGAAACTAACAAATAACATAAAAATCAATTAATAAATATATATTCTTTGATACTTATCAGCGAACCCTTATCACGATAGTTTATTATCGCTACGGTTTCATGTAAGTGTTCTGTTAGGTAGTTGGCAAATAAATATTAAACAATATGCATTGCTCAGATTCTGTTCAGAAGATGAGCAGTTAATGCCCTCCTATTATGAAGTATCTAAGACAACACCGACCGAGACAATATGTATAGAAAAGTTCATTTTCTACTTTTACCTGACCGGGAATCGAACCCGGGATCTGATGAGCCTTGAGACCTTGAAACCGGTGTATGATCCACTCGGTTATGAAGGCCGTCAATGACGCATGCTTGTAACTGAAGTTAGATTCTATTGAGAAGTAATGATTATTCTTGAAATAAAAATTATACAAACAGCAAGCAGCAGTACATTTAATCATTTTTAGGTTAAAAGGATAGAATTGAAAAAATATAATAAAACAAATTCGAAATTGTTCTGAAGTAAAACACATCTCAATGTATTTATATCAGATACCTTGTTAGTGTTTCTTCACTTTTCAAATCGCAATAAATTTGAAAATAAAATAGGATTCAGTATAGAAATCCACTATAGTGCATTTATGTGGTGAGAAAAACACTTCTAATTTTGACAAAATTGTGTCCCATCACTAGATTTTCGAGCGGAGTTTCACCGTCGCCGACCCGCAAATATACGACGCGGCGGAGTCTCTCGCCGCAGACGATCCGCGCGTCGTCGTTCAGCCCCGTGGGCCGCGGCCCGCTCGGCTGCAAGCGGAAGGGCGACGAGTCCAGCGAGCCGGGCACTAAGCGCGCCTGCCTCTCGCGGGACCCGCCCACGTCGCCCGCCACAGACTCCGACTCGTTGGACTGCACCTTCAGACCCGTGTCGCCCCGCTCGAGACCCATGAGCGACTCGCACTACCCCACCGATCGCAAGACCCCCGATCCCAGCTAATAGTGTGCTGCGTTGTAATACTAGTTCGGATTCGCTTGCCCGAGTGTTCGCCTGGCGTGTTTTTCCGACGCTCCGAGTGTTGTTGCAATTCTAGGCGAACGCTTCCCTGGACTGGTCCATAGTGATTACCTGTGCCGACGGTATTTTCTCGATATCCGTCGTGTTGTAGAGTAGGGTGTAGTGTTTTCGTTCCGAAGTTTAGAGGTAGTGCGGAAATGATGGTTCCTAATAGTGAACTCGGAATAGTAGATTAGGGATGGACGAGAGCGAGTGCCCTGTTAATAGCCAAAGCATTCAACTTTATTGTAAATATGTAGGTTCTTGTGTATCGAACGCAGAGTTGTATATAATTTTTAGAACTAAGAAAATGTAGCCATAATATTGTAAAAGGACGAGTTTCGTCGATTTGGTTTTACAGGTTAAGATGTTTTGTTTTGACACGATCCGCCGATATTTTTTATTTATGAATAATTTTGATTCAATATATCTTATTTTTTTCTGTTGAGTTTATCACTAACCGTTGCCGCCGATGTCATGAAGTCAGGTGTGACAGAAATTAAAGGCTCTCTAAGGCGCTCCCAGAGAGTTTTTTACATGAAATATATATATTTTTTTTGTAAATATGGAAATATCAATTTCAATATAATTATTATAATACTAAATGTAATCATTAAGTGTTGATATAATTGATACATTAAAAAAGTAGGGATGTTGCAAATGTGGATATTGCTGCAAATGTGGATGTGACACCTTTTTCAAAAAATATTATTTTTTATTTTTGCATTTATACTGGAATAAATATTATAATTTTTCTTATGGTTCAGTAACAATAATACAGCACAATATTATGGTTAAAAATGTAAAATTCATAATTGTTTTAGAAGTAGTAAACCAACTGTAAGAATAAATGACAAAAATCTGTCATCTACCTCCGGATACAACAGGGATATCATAACAGCAACATGTTTATAGATATTTTTCCTTTTTTCTCTTAATACTAGCCGGTTAAAGAGATGATAAAAATATATGATTTGTTTTACCGTAAAGTCTCTTTATTTTAATGCTCAGTGGTATGCAGTTTGCGATGTCGGACAGCTAATTTTCAGCGCACCGCATTAGCATCTGGTATAAGCCCTTATAATTCTACATCCGCATCTGCAACAGCCTTATAAGATATGCATATTAGTGAGTTTCCATATTGGGCGTTTCTTTTGTGATTTATTACTCCATTGTGTTCATATTGTCACATAGTTTAATTATATGATTCAGTTTAATCAATATAATCGTAATTGATAGAGTAATATGATCTAATTAGCTATCCATCAATTACCTAAAAATTTTCTTAGTGAGCACGTTTTTTGCTTTCGCCTTATTTTGTCATTGTTACCAATGAACAGTATTCACATAGGGGTCATCCGTAAATTATATCACTCGTTAAGGGTCGAAAAAATGTGACTACTAAATTTTGTGAGGTCACATTTCAAAATTTATTATAAAAACGCGACATCTCCATACTGCTTCAAGCTAACCTTTTTTAAATTTTGATGGTTATTTATTTTATTAATAAAACTGCCAATTTATTTAAAATTTCGTATGAAATTGCAAAATATTATGTGTAATTTACGAGGTAAAAATCATAAAATACGTTTGACGTAATTAATGGATAGGCCCTACCACTATCGTAATAAGCATCAATTTGATTTAAATTCATATTAACTGAAGTAATAATATTTTTTTTTATTAGTATGTTATATTAAAATGTTAGACTTCCATCAAATTGTTATAAATAATATTTATGACTACCTCCATGCTATCATTTTGTGTAATCAATTGTAGCAGCAATGCGTTTGCTTCTGTGCAGTCAGATATTACTAAAAAGTTTTAAACTTTTTTGGATAGAGAATAACAAGTTTTAATATTTACTGGAGCCACACGTATTTTATAGTTAAACGAATATTACACTATACAAAGACAAATTTTCTAAAATATTACTATAAAATAAAATAATAATAAAAACCCAGAAAACAAGGGATTTTTTTCCTGTTGTAGGTCTGCAGGTAGAAATTTCAATTTTAAATAAGCAGTGCTCTTGTGCTAATGTCTGTTACATTTGTTAATGTGAAATTGTATGTGCACAAAATAAATAAATAAAATCTGTAAAGTAAAAACAGCCTACAAGTTCTCCTAAAGCATGGTCAGTTCATCCATTCTTTCTGGCCCATTAATTATTAGGTCGAACGTTCAGAGTACGATTAGTTTCTCTTATTGTCAAACACCAAAATGATAGTACGGCGGTTAGTTTCGTTTTGAAAACGTACGAATATATAATTTTAATATTGAAACAAGTTTTATAAGTTTTTTTAATACCTCTCAGTAACCCACAAGCTGTTGCATTTTGAAATATATTAGTGTTATAAGTAATTATTTTGTATTGCGTACTGTCAACAGCGCATCAGGTTATACAAAACTGACTACACTGGTGGAAAAGTTTCAAATTTATTGGGTAAATTTGACAGTTTATGATAATCTCATGTGCTGCTGTGTGTACATAAGTTGTGATGTGGAAGTTAGAAAATCACGACAGTGTCCGTTCGATGTTAGTTTGTACACGATTTGTATTATAAAAAAGGTTGGGTTTACTTTTCGGTGCTAATATGAAAACTAATATTCATTTTAAAACACCATATCGAACGGACGCTGATCACACCTACTATATACATATGTACCTATGAACAGGTAAATTGTATTGTATAATTTGTAATTTTTAGTCTGAATTCCATGATAAACAACTGATTTATTGTTTTCAAGTGTGATTAAATCACAATGTGAATTCATTTAGTCCAGCGTTTCATTTATTTAAGATTTACAGGGGTTTTGGTGTCAATTAATCTTCGTGCTAGACAGTTTAGTAGTAATAAACAAGTAATGTTTGTTAAGAGTTGATAAAAGCTCTTGCCCACGAGTGAAGTTACGCGACGCATCCCCATTTTTGTTACGATCTCTTAGACCAGGGATGGCGAACCAATGGCACGAACCAGAATATTTTGAGCACGTCGCTAATCACAAAATTCTTTTCGCAAAACGAGAAAAAAGTTTGAAGTAATAATCATTTTCTAATTAATAAGAAAGTCAAAATTATTTGACGACACGTTTATGACCTCATTAAACCTTCATATAGAAAAATGGCACATTGATAGGTTAAGCTTCACCATCCCTGTATTATACTGTAGAGTTATTAGCAGTGCCCGTCATTACAACGTCAATTGAATTTTGAGATTAATCATACGCTATGAAATTAATCTTATCTCCAACTATCATTGAAATTTTGCCATTTGACCCTATTTCATAACGGAATCACAAATGAGGTACTTAAAAGTAAAAAAATAGTTTCAAAATCAGAGATAGCGTTGTTCTACGCACGTTCATTGGGGGTATATACACTCGCTTGCTCCTGAAATAGTTCCTTCGACAGCTATAGATATTTAATGTATTTCATTATACTATCAAAATAACTTCATACCCAATTGCGCATGCGTCCATTAATATTATCATTTGTTTAAAACAGAAAGGTTCCCAAACATTTTTTCTCAAACAAGTTTAAAACAGAAAGGTTCCCAAACAATTTTTTCTCATAGACCATTAAAAAAAAATACTGGTTTCAGTGGACCCCCAGCTGCTACATTTTTATCATATTTCTAAAATGTGACGATCTAACGATGGAAATTGGCGTCGCGGGTGAGTACCTAGACCCCCGTTGAATCCCTCGTGGACCTCTGGGGGTCCACCTGGACCACTTAGGGAATCACTGGTTTAAAACGACGTTACCGATACAAATTTTCATATTTAGTATATTAGCTTACAGTCGTCATTAAACCTGAATAGACGTTTGTGTAACTGGGTGTTAGCGAAGCAGATAACAGATAATAGAGTTACTGTTATAACGTGATAAAACCCAGAACTTTGGCTTGACTTCCCCTTTTAACGACTACAGTTGCCGTCGAACCAATGGGTTAGAAGCAGTGAGGAGCTAGAGATACTTTTTTGGATACCTATTTTCGAGTCGAGAAGTGGGGCTAGTCAATTGTCGTTATTTGACGGGATATGGATTATATTTTTGATAGTTTTACACATAATCAATACATGGACTAACATTGACGGAGCGAAACGCCGTGCAGAATATTATTACTACAAATTTTCTTTGTAAACATTGAAACATGACAGAACATGCGACACGATTACATTGGACTAATTCGTAGGGAAACGTGGTCGTGCACTATGGGTCTCATAAGAAGGCTCAAGGTCACCCAGCGGGCAATGGAGAGAGCAATGCTCTACGTGATCGAATTAACAATCAGGAAATCCGTAGGAGAACTAACGTTACTGACATTGCTCAGCTGAAGTGGCAGTGGGCGGGACACATAGCGAGAACTGATGGCCGATGGGGCAGAAGGGAGGCCTATGCTCAGCAGTGGGCGTCTTACGGCTGATGATGAATTCGTAGGGATGCCGGATATAAATATAGCGGAACACAACACCGCTATATATGTGCCGGCAATTGCACGTCATATTGAACTCTATTTTCTTGTGTTATGATCTAACTAAACTGTACTGAACTGACAGCATAGCAACTACATTGATTCTTATGATTATAACTAATTTTCAAATAAAAGACCACGATTACAAACCAAAATCACTTTTATTTACATTTCAGTTTTATATTAACCTTGTATAATTAGCTGACAAATGATATCAAGAAAAACAGTTTAAAAGTGAAATTAATCTAAAACTTACTATTAATGAACAACATTATTATAACATTCCAATATTTTGTACTCTTTAAAATGTGATAAATTACAAAACATAAGACAATCGAGCGAATAATCTCACAATAATTACTATGTAAATTAATTATTAAAACATTACAAAATCCATTAATAATAACTATAATTAAAAGAGTATTAGCAAAGCTTGCCAAGTACAATACATACTATATGTATATAAAAATTATACAATTCGTTGATCCGACTCAAGTAAATCCTTTTTATAATTGCGTCCAAAGAAAAATGTATACATACTTCATGAAAAGATATAACATTAGTATTCATCAGTTCAATTAAGTAACATTAATTGCATATTATTTAAGTCGCAATAACGCACGGTTTGGTTAAGCATTTATTATCGTAATTCAGTGTTTCTCAAAGAAGGGTACTCGAACCCTTTAAGGAACCTCGAACCAATCAATCAATTAAAATGTTCTACAGTGACTGATAGGCTGTCTAATATTTTAGTCAAATAATAAACAAAGTTGCTCTAAAATAAGTCTGAATTTGAATGAAGAAACAATGTCGTTATTGTAAGGCTTAAGAAAGGATGAGAACGAGTTTGAGAAACTCTGATCCAATAAACAAAACTGTGTCAGTTACCCTGGACAACCGTATTGCGTAATAACAAGCATTCGTTTCACACTATATTACATATTAATTACCTATAATTCACTATAGGAAGACAGTTAATCTAATTAAATTTTATGAGTAGCTTAAAGCAAGACAGATAAACAATATTGGAATGCAATTATGGCATGGTTTTTTGGTTAAGTTCTATTGAGCACTTTGTATAACTTGAGGAGGCAGATTGAGATTTTGGTTTTCCATTAGTTTTTGTCAAACAAAACTAGAGATAAATTAGTATGAAACTTAGTTTCACTACAGTCGATTGGTAAAGATACCTTAGTCTCCTGTCAATACTGGGATAAAATACGCCCTTGTGGCGTCAATATGTCGGTGGCGAGAAAGCTTGGACAAACATCGCAAGCTTATCAGTCTTTTATGTCAAATTTTGAAAGAAGGCTGCAAATAAACTTTGCATAACAAACAAATCATATTGACATCTAAATATTTAACAATAAACGTTAACGCCACTTTAACCTATGTATGCGCTAAATCGGAAATTGGTCTAAGTCTTCCTTTGCTCTACTAATTAGTGGCAGTGATAAACGCGACATGACTCATACCGTACATGAGCACACTTAAATTATCGTATAGTAGTCGACGACCTTACATAAATTTGATATTATAATAATTAATAAATGCTTCTATTGAGCTTGATTTCCATATTACAGTAATAAGTAACTTAAAAGATTAACAGCGCAACTGCACATGCCGCGAATCAGTCGTCGGTGCTCACTATTAAGCTATCGTGGCATGTTCGATCCGCGATCGTCCGACACACGACAATCGTACACAAAATATTAAATAATTTGAACCCACCTGAGTAATTTCCTCATCATGTGTAAAGTGCCACGCGGCATTTTTCAACTACTCAACGCGGAATCTTCGAGGAGGGGCACTTTGGCGACTTCGAAGAATATCGTGTGGGAATATTTGTTTCTCACTGTGCTGATGGCGGATTTCGGTTTCTTGTGTAGTGTAGCGTTCTGTGCTAAGACAATGGGCAGGATGTCTTTTAAGGAGTAGCCTGAAAATATTATGTATAGTTGTTTTATAAAATAGAAAAAAATTTAATGTAAGAATGTTTTGAACAATATATCAACAATAAAACTATAAATACAATTAGTGTGGTTTCGATTTTTATGTAGAATTATATTTGGTGTCAAGTCAATAGATTGATTTCTATTTATAATGTATTGATCTGGTAATGACATGGTTTTTGTAAATGTCATTACTCCTATTAGAGCTAGTGAGCTTCTTGCTCGTTCTTCTTATCAGCCAAAAGACGTTCTGAACGAGTGGTAGGGAAAAAATGTTAAGATGATTCAATAGCACTTTTAAGAAGTCTATTTGAATAGACTATTTTGACTTTGACTCTGGGCCACATAGTTAATCAATTGACTATTTAAAAATTATAACTTATATGTAAAAAATAACTATGTACAATAGTATTTTGATTTAAAAGAAGTTGTATGTATATTTCATTTTTGCAAAATTAACGTGTTATAAGATTACTAGAAGAATAATTATTTTAAAAATATTGTATTTCTTTCTGGTTTTCTTAAATGGGTTCTATCATAATACTTTTTGATGTACATTAAGTTCCTATATCCCGCACTTGTGTTATTTTTATTTTGTTCAATTTTGTATGTTTATCTCTAGTGTCATATACAAAGCTTATAAGTATTTTAATAAATAATTAATTAATATTGTACAACTGTTAATAATAAATCGGTTCCTAATAACATTAAGATTCTTTCTTTTGCTGTTCATCTTTTAAGAAAAAAATCCTAAATACAAAATGAATGTACATTCTCTACCAAAATCAATGGGTTTTATTGCAATATTATTCGAATGAGTAGAGATATGACACATCACAAAAGGTCGTGCAATACAATTTTTTTATATTTTTCTTCTGGATTTCCATATGGGTCATATTATATCAAATATTTTTCTTCATTCGTTCTCTTCAGACATATCTTATAGTTCAGAGATTTACAGCAACACAGGGCCTCCTCACAAGATGTTTTTGTTTATTTATTTATTTATTTATTTACTCTCTTGGATGACCAACAGCTAACAATACAAATTAAAATTTCATTCCAAAAACAGATAGCCAATTACAGGTCTTCGCTTATAGATTTGGCATAAAAGTAAGAAATATATATATATACATACATATATATACTTACATACATAAAACATGCATCGCTTACACTTACAGTAATGTTACAATAAGTACGCTGCTTACGGAGTAATATATTAATAATAAATACATATATAAAGTATAATGATAATGACACATATACCTATATCCTAATCAGAAAAATTAGTTATTTAAAAAGAATAAGTTACCAACAGCACGCTTAATCGACGCCTCGCTAGTGTTAAAAAGGTCAATATTTACTCGCTTTGTTAGTTCGTTGAATCCATTACACGCTCGCCAAATGAATGAATTCTGCCGAAAGTTTGAAGACGCAGGGGGTAGATATAACAGGGGGTTAAACCTGAGTTGTTTTTGTGGGGCTCTAAGAGTAATCTTTGACAAGAGTTCAGAACAATCCACAGCACCACTAGCAATTATTGCAAGAAAAACCAAATCTGCAATTTCTCGCCGATTCACTAAAGGGAGAAAGTGATGCATCCTGCAAAGTTCCTCGTAGCGGCCTGAGTCATAGCGATGTTTGGTGCGGAAGCAGAGGTACTTAATGAATCTCATTTGAATTTTCTCGATCCGCAATATATACGTCTGGTATCCAGGGTTCCAGATCTGCGACGCGCACTCCAGGTGACTTCGGACGAATGTGCAATAAAGAATTTTTAGAGTCTTAGTCTGTGTGAAGTCTTTGGAGTTACGCATAACAAATCCAAGAGCTCTGGAGGCCTTTGAGATGATGTTATCGATATGGGCATCGAAAAGCAACTTATGGTCATGAAACACGCCAAGATCTCTCACAACCGTATCTCGTTTCAGCCTTGAATTTCTCACCACATAATCAAACAAAATCAGATTACGCTTCCGACTATACGTGACAACATTACATTTGGCTGCATTTAAGTCTAAACAATTACTTGAACAGTAGTTGTCAAGTCTCACAAGATCATTTTGCAGTGAAAGCGCGTCTTCTAACGACGAAATAGGCGCAAATATTTTCATATCATCCGCAAAACATAATAGTTGTGAAAATTGAAAACACCTCGCAATATCATTTACGAACACAGCAAACAGGAGTGGCGCAAGTAAGGAGCCCTGAGGAACTCCACTGGGAACCGTAAGCCAACCAGAAATATAATTTTTCACCACGACCGCCTGTGAGCGATTATTAATGTATGATGATAGCCATCGCAACAAATCGCCACCCACACCAATCATTAACAGTTTGATCTGTTTCATGTAGGTTATATATCAGTATCGGACCATAGTTTTTTGTTTTTTTTTATCTCTGTTTATAATGTATTGATCTGGTAATGACATGGTTTTTGTAAATGTCATTACTCATATTAGAGCTGGTGAGTTTCTTGCTCGTTCTTCTTATCAGCCAAAAGACGTCCTGAACGAGTGGTAGGAAAAAAATGTTGGACGATTCAAAAGTACTCTTAAGAAGTCTATTTGAATAAAGATTATTTTGACTTTGACTTTGGACGCTTTTTCTAGTATGAATCTGTATGAATGCAGTCCATCTGTGTGTACCTGTATAGTATTGCAGCGTGGGGCTCCAGCCGCCGATGGCCTTCATCCGCAGCGCGAGGTAGAGCGCGGCGGCGGCCATCTTGCTGTCCGAGTGCTGCACGAGCGCGTAGTCCAGCAGACACTGCTCCAGCACGAACCGCGCCAGCGTCAGCGTCGGCATCGACACCCGCGCGCACTGTACCGACCAAATCAACCATTCGTTTCTAACTAGCTTTCCGCCAGCGGCTTCGCCCGCGTGGTCTTATATTATACATAAAAAACTATTTTGAATCACCCTATGAAAAAAAATCCATTGCGTAGTTTTAAAGATTTAAGCATACATAGGGATATAAAGCCACTTTGTTTTTCTATTCAATTCAATGTATCAAAACTATTTTACTATAGTGTATTATTAACTTACATCGCCTTTTCGCGTTTTTCTTTAACGACACATAGGGAAAGGTAATGAATTTTTCATCAGAATAACTTTTATTTTTCAGAAAACTTTATTTTTCTAAATATCTAATATCATAAAGTAACAATGTTTCACAGTACGAGGTGGAACTTTCTCATTTATAATACACTAGTTTACTGCCAGCAGTTTCACTCTCATGGCTCTTAGGCAACAAATTTAGTGGGATAGAAAGGAGCATACATGTTAATTCAACCTTATAATTATCCATATACCAAATTGAATAAAAATCGATTCAGTAGTTTTTATATAATAAAATAACTATCATACATTCATCCTGTCAAACTTTGATGTTTATAATATTAGTAGCCGACAAATATATGAAAATTGATTTACATCTGTCTGCTGAATAAATAATACACACATCATGGACACAGGGAAAGAGAAGTGCGCTCAGAGACATAATAAAATGTATGGAAAATGTTGTATTGCATGTTACCATACACTTTGTGTTACGAAAGACTTATCTGTAACCAACTTAACATGTAACCTATTTGTAACAAGCAAGATTATGGAGGGTCTGTCTCACCCGTGCATATCTCCTGAGAAACCGGTATGAGAGAGGGATGCCGAGATCGAAGTCGACCACTCGGAGGATGTTCATCTCCATCTTCAGTAGCTGGCTTAGAGTGTATGCGCCGTCACAGATGTATAGGAAGTCATCTACTAGAGGAGGGATGCGCTCCTGCAACATTAAAATTTACTTTTTGATGATTCACGTTTCATAATAAAACTGTGAAAACAAAGAAATAAAGTTTTATATATGAAGGTAAGAATGACGATACATAGTTGTTTAAAGCTATCAACTGTGTAATTATTTTGGAAACTCTGTCCTGTTCTTTTATCATGTAGCCATAAGTTATGTAGAGGACTAGACAACACAAAGCAAGTTCTTCGGTCTTATTACATATGACATTCATAACCTATGTTTCCGGGCGGTATTCACAGGAGTAGTATTTTCTTCAGAAAAAAAAATCCTTTTATAACGACCTCCTTAGATGTATCGCGGACGCCGGTTTTGAGATATCATTATCTCTGACGTCCTGGGTTCGATTCCGGTTCCACTTTTTCCATAAGGTCTTGAGTCTTGGAATTGTGGTATCTTCATTGGTTTCAGATTTTCATAAGTTACTTCATTTGGTGTCTGAATAATATATATTTGAAATCGAAAAATACAGATTATTTAAATTTTAACTTAGCAATATAGGTAATATCTCACATCGAACTTGGACGCGATGAATAACGCTGACGCGCCGAGCAGCTGTAGTTCTTCCTTTGTGAGATGTTCTTTCTGAGATTGCGTTTTAGTAGAGCGCGTGAGGAATAAGTCTACCAGTTTCACAGCCAAGTAGAGGGTCTCATGGTTCAGCTCAAAACTCTCCTGCACTTCCACCATCCAGTCAACCAGAAGAGCGCGCATCCACGAAGTGATACCGCTCATACGAGTTAAATAATCGTCGATCGGGAATAGTCGCTAATGAAAAAGTTAATGATAAATTAAAATGTCCACACGCAAAGGATATTGACCAAATTTGGTTTGGTATCCTAACAGAATGAAATTGATCAAAAATAAAATGGAAATTTATTAGGTTTTTTATGAAATCGAAAAAATGGAAGTGTAAATGTTAAAAAAATAACATTATCAACTTCATTAGTTATGTTATCACAGACCCAGTAAAATGAAGACGTGATTGATGTACCACATTTGACTTATGATAAGTCAAATATGGTACATCAATCACATTGGACAATTTCAATTATTTTGGAAATACTACTAAAATAACTGCTAAAATAATTTATATTTCATGCAAGACAAGCCATTTCTTAAGAAATTTATTTTTATAAGGTTATCAGTAGTTAGTGTTGGGGAGTGCAAGATGTCACACACCCTATGCAGAGGGGTGCCAAATAAAAGGGTCTATTGTAATGTCAAAAATAAGACATGCTTGAAGTAACTCTGTATAGCAACAGTAACTAATACAAACAACAATAGCCATGAGAACTACACTATTTAGCAAGTTTCACAAATCTAAGTTAGACAACAGCTCAGATGTCATGATTATTTCATTTAAATTCCTGATAACTATTATTTGCTGAAACGCTAATGATTATATAAATATAACATTTAAAACGCAAGTTTTTGCATACATTTCACCATTGGGCTAATTTATTAGGGGTGCAACTGCCTAACTCTTTAGCCATAGGATATTATGTTTTATGTTACTACTTTGACTAAAGTACATGTCAAAGTAAAAAAATGAAGCGAAACATCGCCAAAACATAGATAATAACGTACCCTATGGCTAGATTTAGGCTATCGCTTTGCAGGATGGTCTCAGTGTAGCCACTAAAAATGTATGTAAATTGGTTAAAGTAGAAATATAATAATAGAAAATATACAGAATAAATCATGCCAACCAGTAGTCACTGGCAGTTGCCACGTAAACTGCACCTTTGGCAGGGGCAGATTAGGTCTCATATAATACATACCTCTCTACTCTTTAAATAATTAAAGATGTCCATTGCATAATTGGAGACTTGGAATGGATCATTCCAGTTCTCCAAGTCAAAGTCTGGAACTCCACTGGGTACTTTGTGTGGAGATTCAGTCTCTTCATCTAACGACCTGTTTATAGTATCGTCTAGATTCACTTTGTTCAGTTTTTCACTAATAGTTTTGCATTCCTCTTTTGTTGAGTCTGAGGGACTTCTGTAAAATTTCAATTATAATAAAGTAAAATTTATTTAACATGTTCATTATTCTTAATAATACTGTCTGTGTGTCACGCAATCACGCCTAAACTACTGAACAGATTTAAATTTGGTACAGAGACAGGCTAGATCCTGAGAAAAGACATAGGCTATTTTTTAATGCCACGAAAGGGTTGTAAGGGTTTTGAAAATTTGTATGAAAGTTATGTTAATGTTGATTTTTATTGTAATGTAGGAATGGAATTCTAATTCTAAGGGATGAAAGTTTATGCGTGATGAAATCGGTTAAAAAGGTTACGACCCAGAAAATAAAAACATATAAGGAATGCAGAGAATTATGCAGTCCTTACAAAAAGAGAAAATTAAGTTAACGCAAGAAAGTAACTTGCCAAGCGCTCGCCGGCGTGCCATACACTACGAGTGCCGCGCTAGGGCGCATGGCGTGGGAAAATATGCTTATGTAAGTATACCCAAATAAGAATAAATAACCTAAAAAATAAAAATGCTGCAGTCACTATTTCACGCGGACGAAGTCACGGGCAAAAATAGTGATAAATAATTTAAATATAACGACATCAGATTAAAAGAACGGTTTCATAAAAGGCACCGTTAGTCTTTAAAGTGGAACATGTAATCATATCAATTACTGTAACCTTGCCTTGTCTTGACCAATTACAAATTAGGTCATTTTTGTTTGAAATTTAACTTCAGGAAACAATTTATTTATATTGTGTGGGTTTCATAAAAGTTACATCAACTGAATTTTTGGTGTTATAAAAAGTATATTTTGACCTAAAAATATATCCATCCATATACATCCAGTTATTTTCACATGAAGAGATGATAAATAAATACAGTAACATAAAAATTACTCTCATTGGAATTTGATAAATTATGCATTCACAGGGTTGTTTGTTTGTAGGGTGTATCTTCAGAAATAGTGATTGGATCATGAAAATTCTTCTACCTACAGGAACCTACATCATACGCGAGTGACACACAAAAGCAGCTATTTTAGGCACCTGAGACTGGTGAATACTTTAACGTACTAGAGTATACTTTAAAATATTTTTCTATGAGATAGATATCAGAAAGATCATTCGTTTTTTTATAACTAATTATTTAAAAAATTTATACATATAATTGCTACAATTTGGACTATACTACAGCCAAATTCGATGAAGAGTGTTTACTAACAAAGAATTGCTTGACAACCACTGACAGGCAGATATTAATAAACTTTCTAAACCAGACAATATAATTTATTCAATTTCGAGATACTAATTTATGAAATATTTTTATTTATTTAATCTTAATTGCCTAGCGAAATAGACAAATGGCGGACTTAATGCCAAAGAGGCATTCTCTACCAGTCAACCAGTAAATTTAGTACAAAACTTAAAGTGGCGATTGGCGACAAAACGCTATTGATATCTCTACATAAGAACTATATCCAAATATATATAAAAATACATACAATAATAGACATACATAAATAAATGCACATATATAACTAAAAAACAAAGTACGAAAAAAAATTTGGTGTCAGATCAAGAATTCTTGTTTGAAGCATAATAGAAGACGCAAGCTGCTGTCTTGAATGCAAATTTGTTAGGAGCACTTCGGACGTTCAAAGGTAGTGCATTCCAAAGACGGATGGCAGTTAAAGTGAAGAAATGAGATACAAAACAAGAATGATGAGAAGGGGTTCGGAGCACTAGCCTACTACTAGAACGAACATTTTTCAGGTGAGAGGCACCGAGGATTTCAAACCGCGGTTTCAAATACTCTGGTGCTCATGGATCGAAAGTATCTGGAAAAGTGTGCAAGCTTAAGGATAAGCACCTACGCTCCCGAATAGGAAGCTACTCAAGATGTTGACGAAAATTGTAAATGTGGTCATATTTGCGCAGACTGAAAACAAAACGAATTGTATTGTTCAGAAGACGATCCAATCTATTGAGAAAGGTTTGATTGATATCTGAAGTTCAAACATCAGCATAGTCGAAAAGGGGATGTACAAGAGCTTGGACGAGGGCAGACTTAGTACGGGGAGGGAGAAAGTTCTTAAGACGATAAAACGAGCCGAGGGTGCGATGGATTTCACTGCAGACATTATCTATTTGATCATCCCAGTGCAAAGTACTGTCAAGAACAAGTCCAAGATTTTTTTACCTTAGCAGTATAAGCAATCACATAATCGCAATCACACGGGCATAGGTAACAGCTGGAATTTTGTTGAGGTTAGTTTGCGATATTTGTCGGGAGCTACCGATAGTAATGGCCTGACATTTGTTGGGATTAACAGAAATAAAGAAGTTATTTGACCATTCAAATATTCGCTCAAGATTTTAGTTCAGTGTACATATGGCTCTATTAGGGTTGTGGATGTCATCCTGACCATATATCTGCAGGTCATCGGCGTACAGGTGATAAGAGGTTGTAAGAACAGAGGTGACAGAGTTAATAAAAATTGAAAAGAGAAGAGGAGAGAGCACACCGCCTGAGAGACACCAGCAAACAAGTTACACCAGTTAGAATCTCAATTACCCACTCATACGTATTCTAAGCAATTTAGATAGAATTCTGTAATTAAATTATATTGTAGTGTTTTGAAAATTACCTAATCTTTGTAATTTAATGTGCAATGTCTTAACATTACAAGGAAAATGTTTTGTATAAACAAAACCAGTGAAAAATATATTTTTTTTTTATTTGCAAATGTAGTATTAATTCATGAACTTGCTTTTACTTTTTGTTGTTTTAAACAGCAGAAAAAAACACCAAACTTTCATAAGCACCAAATGATCCAATACTTAATGGTATTGGATCATTTGGTGCTTTTGTCTACAGTTATCTAATTTGCTCTGTAAAACTATCCACCTGTCTCATACCTATTAAAATATTATATTAAATAATGTATTTGTTGTATGCTATAAGCAGTTCATGAATTCATAGTTTTGCCAAAATTTATACCCATACTTTATTATATTTTTACAATTTAGGCAAACATTATTTAATTGGGGTGGACCACCCTTATCAATTAGAGGTATAAAAGTAGATAATCACCTATTCTCAGATCTACTGAATATACATATAATCAAAATCAGTGCAGCTACTTCAGAGGAGTATGTATGATGGTAACGAAAACTGTTAGATTTACTGACATCTCATCTCATAAACAAAGATATAAAATCACACTCAATGTCATTTGAATAAAAGTAGAACCAAAATAAGAGAAAGGTTTCAAAATAAGGAAAAGAACCACCATCTTACATTCATTTCATTTTACATTTTAAATTAATTTAACCAATATAATCAATTGACATTGGCAGAATTCGGTGAAACATGCAAATAAGCCATTAATAAAAGGAGAAGTAAAAGTTACAGGACTTAATACATGTGAACATTACATAGCCCAAGAACTAAATGTATCACGGACATGTTTATGGATTGTAGACATGTTAACGGAACCATGTCCAGAATGATAATAAATCATTTCATGTACAATCCATTCCAGGACATGTTAAGTGCTTGTCTATACTTCATCTAATTTGGCTAGAATATAAATAGCTGGAGTAGAACTTATTGCTAAAATAATAATAAAAAACTAACATGTTTTCCAATGCTGTCATGTATAAGGAAGGATCACCAGAGACATCACTTTTTCCAGACTTCCCCGAGCTTTGACTGTTGTTCTGATTCTCTTTACCAACTGGTTTCCTGTCAATATTTTTCAGAATGCCATTCTGTGCCCTAGTGGCCACTGGTTTTAGTGGCTCTCTAGTGAAATGTTTATGCACTGATTCAATGGCATTAGTGGCCACCCTCTGTAATGTTTTGGCTTTCGAGCTTTTACCATTTACAGCTGTAGTCTGTTGTTTGATGCTCTAAAATTAGTGAAAGACATTTAATTATCAATTGATTAAAAAAACTCGAGTACTGTTCTTTACGCTTTGGTTTAATGACACAACTGAAAAGCACAATTGTTGTCAGTACTCAATTTATTTCTAATTAAACGAAATAAAACAACAGAATAGACTAAAATAAAATATTAACATGAAAAAAATATTTTGGAGGGAAAGTTCATTGAACCCAAGTGCATTTCAATGCATATTAATTTGAAGAATACATTAGGCGATTAATTAATAGTTTATGTAATTCCTTTATTCTTAAGATTTCTTGCCAACTTTAATCAAACATATATTTAAGTGTATAGGTAAATATAATAATTGTAACCTTTAAGGTTGGGAGCAATTTAGTTTCCACAGTTACTTTTTTTACCGCCATAACCTTTTCTTTGTCATGTGTAGCACTGGATTTGTTAATTGCGTTTGTGATGTCTCCAAATGCCGCCCTCTTAGCAGTCAGGTCTTTCAAGGGACTATCAGCTTTTCTCTTGTTTGGCACTTTCAGACAATCTTTGTGAGTTTTTAGAGTAGCCAATTGCTTACTCCTTGTCGTAATTCCATGGTATAGAATACCGTTCAAGTTTTCGTTGACGCCGATTGGCTTTGATGCCAACCTGGTTGGCGCCATTGCAATTTACTGAAAAGTTACACGAAAATTATCACGTGCACTGAACACGCTAATGAAATGTTATAAAAATACAATAAATAACATTAAGTACGTGAGATAACTGCGAAAATGTAAACAACAGTTTCAAAATCCTCACTTCTAACGACCAAAAATGGAGGCAAAACAAGCGAACATCTAGACAGCTTCAAATGCTATTCTAATGATGAATAAGTACTCACAATATCTAGACGGTGGCCGCCGTTTTTGATACTTATGTTGGTTTTTTTATAAAGAACACAGAACGATATCAACCTAAATCTAAAAATTTTGAGTAATTTTTGATAATTTATCTCGAACCAGACTGACGAACTCATTCAGAAAGCCGTTGAACAGCTTTGAATTTGTATTGGCTAATTTTCAATACTTCCAACCAATAGCGTGAAAGTAACGTTCCTTTATAGGTTACAATTTTTCAATAATGATTCATGAGTAATTCATTAATAGAAAGATATTTTATGGGATCTAATAAGTACTATTATAAAAAAGGTCCCGTTATTGAATTATTTAAAATGCTTAAGTTAACAAAAAGATTTAAGAGTTAAAGAGTTAATTTTACTTTGACTATATAATCATGCGATTTGCTAAGAAATGGAACGTTTAAACTGCTACGTCAAAGAGTAAAAGGGATGGTCCGTTCAGAAATAATAGCTTATTGTTTTAATAATAATATCATTAAAATTAACTTCAAATAAATGAATTGAAAATAAGTTCTGTATTATAGTGGTAAATTTTTAATTAAATTACATATAACAAATAAATAAGATACTTTTTTAAACTTAATATTTAAGATAACCTATTTATTGAACGAATACAACTTAACTGTCAAAACAAAACATTGTCAAAATGACTTATTGTTATTGAATATTGAATAATTGATAAAGATTTTTGATAAAAAACAAATACAAGATAGACAAACTTGTACATTTCTAGTTCGTAGTAATTGCATTCGCCTGATCTAAGTACTTTTAAAAAATACCTTCTATAATAATGTTAGGAGGTCTTAAATTAAAAGTATCTTACACTCACGAAAAAACTTGCTTTGCCTATATTAGTCCAAAGTACAGCACAAATAATGAAAAGGTAAAAACATTAAGATATATTCCAATGCCTAACTTCATCTCTTTTCTTTAAATTTGATATTAGTTAAATAAGTCAATGTAATTAGTGTTTAAGGTTATTTTTAATATTGTGATCTTTTTTATAGACACAGTGTATTCAAGTACTGTATAAAGATAAGATTGTTTATCTTTGGGTTGTGTTCAGTAGTAACATTCCAGAGGGTGTAATAGCATGTAATCCAATATTTAGTAAATTAGTAGAGCTACAGGAAGGAAGGGAAGTTTTTGTATCACCATATGGGGATGTCAAAATATTGGATGAATTGTATATTGACACTGACAGCCCTGATGATCAAGAAATTTTGGTAAGCATCATAAACTGAATAATGCATAAACTGAAACATTGTTATTTGTCATATGGGTAAAATATCACTAAATGGTTCAAAGAATTGTTTAATTTTTAAATTACCAATCCTTTTGTAGGAACACAATGTTGAGATTTTACAGTTGAAAATTCTAGATCAATTAAGGTTTGTTGTATCAAACCAGAAGGCTGTAGTTTGGATATCTACTTCTCTTCCTATAATTTTCACACCGAAACAGAGTGGCCTGTTGGTCCCTAATAGTAGGATTGTTGTAAAGGTTGATGCTTTCAACAGTTTTCATGATATGCCCAAGAATATATCAGCTCATGTGCCTAAAATGGATGGTGGATCACTTAAAAATATAGGTATAATAAATAATGGAATGTTGAAACCATATTTAAATACCTCAGAGAGATTGGTCCTTAGAGTTTTACCTATTGACAGTGATGGCAAAAAGAACCTTATACATCCCTACACAGTGTTTATGCATGAAGATTTATTAAATGATAAGTATAAATATTCAACTGTCATATTAGCCACTATGAATAATATTGTTTCAATATTACATGAGAACAATGAAGATGATAGTCAAAACAATAATAATCAAATAAATAATTTATGTGTGGAAGTAGTACCTATTGATAATGTTGTTTATAGAAGTCTATGTCAAGAGGTTTATAATAAAAATATACAAACAGTACTTATACCAAAATCTTTAAATACAATTATTAATATAGAAAATGGAACTAGAATTATATTAAACATTATTGGTGATAAAGTGGAACAACCTGATCATATAGATATAGTTACATATTCAGAACAGGTGCAGTCAGAAATGGAAGTGGTTGAGAAATTTAAGAATTGTGTGATAGAAAACACACATTCTGGTAAAATGTTCCTAATAAATGATGGAGTGACAAAGCAGAATTTGCAAATTAGCAAAGGGTTTTTGCAATTTAAACTTAAACCTGACAAATTAAAATATACAATGGTCAGTTCTGAATCATTCAGACAGTGCACAGTGGCTGCCAAGTGCCTGACTGATGGAGATCTTGTACTGCCTAAGCTAAAAATATCTAGGTTAGAATATGACTTCAAAAATTATTGTAGAACTATGAAATCTCTAGAGAAGTTAGTACACAAAGTGGTGTCTCATTTAAACTTTGAAATACATAGAGATGCTACTTTTAAGAATGTTTCTGAGATCAAAAGTAATGTTTTGGTTACTGGTAAGTATTATGTGATATTTCATAAAATATTCTTTATCTGATGTTCAAAAAGTAATCATTAAAACATTATCTATTCCAGGGTTAAATGGTTCAGGAAAGACAGCTGTGTGTCACATTGTGCAAAAGGAAATGACAGTTTGGTCACATATTATTCATTGCCGGTCACTGAAAGGTAGAAAGGATATTCCTGAGGTGTTGGGGAAGGCTGTTCTTATGTGTCAAGAGCATAGCCCAGCTCTTCTTATATGTGATGATGTTGACTCTCTAGTTCCTCCCAATGTCGAAGGCGCTTCACCACAAGATGTTGCTTATTACCAAAGGTACACTCCATACTGATAATTATTTATTTAGAGAAAAATGTTTGAAAATGGTAAGCACAAAATTGATCAAATGCAATACTAGGTTTACAAGTTCATTATAAAGCTTAAGAGGAGCAATATAATTTAATGGGGAAGCTATGGCTATGATTAAACTGGCTACTGATTAAAATTTTAATTTAAATACTATAACTTTATGCTATCATTCAATAAAAAAAAGAGTTATTATTATATTTGATCAATTTTGCATTCATAATGCTATACTTTAAACTTTATCAAAAGTTAAAAATATTTGTAATAATATTTTTTCGGCTGTTTGGGTGGATTCCCTGAACATTGATGAAAATAAGCTCTGTAGTATTTATTGTAAAAGTAAAAAGTGCTTGAAGAATTTGTCAGTCCAGGAACCAGGTATCAGAGTACCAGGAACGAAAAGGAAAAAAAAAATTTCTTTGCCTTAAAATTTTACCGATTTACTCCATCAATTAATTTCAGACTGGCTGTGGTTATTAAACATTTGTTACAAACTTGTTCCGGAGTGTGTGTGTTGATGACGGCATTAAGTGTGAAGGCTTTACACCCCACATTGAGGCAGTTCACTGGCAGACCATTATTTACGGCGCATTTCGATATATCGGAAATCACACAGGTATTGTAATACTTAAAACAATATATATATAAATACATACCTAGTTGACATTCAATAAATTCTTCCTTGGATTTAATAATTGTTTTTCGATGGACTTTGATAATAGTCAAATAGTTAAGAAGCATGGTCCATATAAAAAATTACACATTTTCGTCATCCCATTATTTTAAAATTTATATTATTTTTTGTCATCACACAAAATTTCTATATGCAGGAGGACAGGATAGAACTCTTCAAACATTTATTAAATGATAAAATCCGTGATGAGTTCGAGGTAGAAGATGATGACGTCATCAAACTAGCAATGGACACCGCTGGGAGCAGTGCCAGAGATGTTACTGATTATTTTAACAAAATTATATTTAAAGCTGTAAAGAAAAAGAGTAAGTATGAGTATATGCTGTGAGGTCCACTGTTTCATAATTTGCAGAATATGATATTATGTTTTAGTTGTTACTCTAAATGAAATATTGATAGAATGTGTAAACCTCATGCTCTGCTACAGATACGAGGGTCAAACTGAAAGTTCTTAGAACTGGCCACTTATAAACAATATAATAAAAAAATAATTCTAAAATTTGAAAATATAACTCTTTGCCAATATTACTGAGTATATATTTCATTCATTTGTCATTTGTTTTACGATTTGGCGGCAAATTGAAAATTGTCTGTGTCACGTCATCATGAATTTAACACGAGAAAATTTTCGTGCAATGATTTTTTATGACTTTCGATGTCATTTAAGTCAACAAGAAAGTTATGATAGACTACGATTGGCCTTTCACGATGAAGCCCCATCTCGTGCGACTGTTTACAACTGGTTTAATGAGTTTAAACGTGGTCGCACTAATCTCACTGATGATTTACGTGAGGGACGGCCTTCTACGGCGACGACTGAAGATAACATCTGTGTTGTGCGGCGTATGATAGAGACTGACAAAAGAGTGACCTATCAACAGATTCGGACAAGCTTAGGCATCGGTATGAGTCAAGTGCACAAAATCCTCCACGAACATTTAGCGGTCAGGAAGCTTTGCGCCCGGTGGATACCTCATAATTTGACTGAGGCTCAAAAACTCCATCGTGTGGATTGGTGTCGTAAAATGATTGAAAGATTTAACGGAGGTGACTCAAATGCTGTGTTCGACATACTAACAGGTGACGAAAGCTGGATTTACTGTTATGATCCTAAAACCAAAAGACGATCTGCTCAGTGGGTGTTTCCTTTCGAGGAGTTGCCAACTAAAGTGAAGAGAGATCGAAGTGCGGGAAAAAAAATGGTGGCCTCGTTCTTTGGAAGGATAGGTCATTTTGCAACAATTGTGTTAGAGGATCAAAAAACAGTTTCTGCAGAATGGTACACTACCAATTGTTTGCCACTTGTCTTGGAAAAAGTTCGAGAGAAACGACCTCGCAGTAGGATCCTCCTTCACCACGACAACGCCTCGTCGCACACCGCCAAGCGAACGATCGACTATTTGGCTACATCAAACGTTGAATTACTGGGTCACCCGCCGTATAGCCCCGACCTCGCGCCTTGTGATTTTTATTTATTTCCAAAAATTAAAGAAAAACTTAAAGGAAAGCGGTTTATGAATGCTGAAGAAGCGGTGGCTGCGTATCGCGATGCCATTGAAGAGACCCCTAAGGACGAGTGGGCAAAGTGCTTTTCCCAGTGGTTCCATCGCATGCAGCGGTGTATTGACGTGAATGGACAATATTTTGAAAAGATATAATAAAACTAATAACTGACTAATGTAATCAGTTTTTGATTTTCTAAGAACTTTCAGTTTGACCCTCGTATAATACAAATTGTTGATGTCGGTAACATTATTCTGTATTGATGTCATTTGTATTTATGCTCCAACTAGTAACTCTGTAATCATAAACAATTATTTTTGCTGGTATTTAAGTTAAATGAGAGTATTAATTATAATTAAAAATTCATCACAATCACCCTGTTAATGTTCCCACTGATGGGCCACATTCATTCCCTACGGAGCGAAGGCCTGTACTTCGGCAGTGTAAATATTAGTAGGTTGGTAGTTATGATGCTATTTCCTTTAGAAGCAGATCTCAATGGGAAGCCCCGCCTGGTTGGGGATATTACCAGGGATGAGGAGAAGGCGAGTGGTTTCAACATCTGGGGTGAGGTCGGTGGGCTCGAAGATGTTAAACAAGAGCTTACGGAATGCATTTTCTGGCCTATGATGGTAATTATGTTATATTATGTTTTATAGTCGTTTATGACGAACTTTTAGTTTAAAAAAAAATATTTTGATTACTTATTTTGGTAATATAAAATAAAGATTAAACATTTAAACATACAATAAGTTAATAGTTTTTAGAGTAAGTTTGTCGTAAATACTCATAAAAAAAAACAAACAAAATCACGGGATAGCTTCTCTAGTCTCTCACACTTTACAAATCTACACTAATTGACGTGAGTGTGAAAAAACAACAGTAGTGAAAACACTATAGGCATCTGGGCAATCTTTGTAACATCTTTGTTATTTGTGCGTTTATGTTCATAGCTGTTTAAATGAAAGTTTTTAAGTTTTGTGTAACTCTCATATTAGGTATATATAAATTTTGTAATATATTTTCCCTACTTTTTTCAAGTTTTCGAAGCGTATTGTTTTCCAAATTAGTGCCATATATTAAATATTTATAAGTTAAATTGGTTCATATTTTCCGAACATATAAGAGAAACCTGTATTTTCACTTGTGGGACACAACCCTATAAGATATCGTAGTTCCGTGACTACGTAAGTAGCCATGAAATGAAACCTAAATTAAGATTAGATATTTTGTGAACAATTTAGAGAGTGGTAAAACAGAATTGGCATTAATATTCGCAGTTACTAGTAAGCATTGTTGTGGCAGCTTCTAAATAAAACAACACTTAAACATGAGCCACGTACGATTTGTAACCAGCATTTAATATGTTGTCCTAATAAATAAATTACTACGTGTTTGCATTCTGACGTCGACTGACGTCGATATAATACTTATTTTAATAATTCTCCTATAGTACGGCCAACGAGAAGCGATACCGAATGTAAACAAAACCAATGCAATGTCATTAGGAAATGCAGGGGTGCGTAACTTTTTAAAAACTATGTATTTTATTAGCAGACAATAGTATTTTTAATAATACCTGGCATTGAGTTACTTTTTGTAATTGTTATTCTAAAAATCTTACAATAAAAAGACAAAGAGTTTAAAATCGAATAATAATACTCAAAACGATAGGCATGGCAGGGAGGTATCACAAGTCTATTGACTTAACTTGTACCTTAGGTCCTGCTATTTTTTATTAATTATAGTTTGAATTATTTTATTAATGTAGATATCAAGAATGAGATTTTAATGTAAAGAATAATAATAATGTTTATGGCATTGAGGACAATAATGAAAATTAATGAATCACAATTATTTTAAATAGTCCGCTGAATGTTAGCGAATCCTGGCGAACCCATCTTGACCTTGACACATTTTTTCCGGGAGAAAGAGACATTGCATCAAATACACAAGATGAAAAGAGATAGATAATAGATTGTCAACTCCACAGTCGTTTTTCAAGTTAATGACCTTTCGTATCGCTGTTAGTTGGCTGTACTTTATAAGGTTTTAATCTGGTGAAAATACTTTATCCCATCTCGTATAGTATCCGGCGCTGTTTCGTTCGCAATCGTGCGGTATATTGCTATACGGTCCGCCGGGTACGGGCAAGTCCCTGATTGGCTCGTGCCTGGCGCGCCTGCCCGGCGTCACTCTGCTGGCGGTCAAGGGGCCCGAGCTGTTGTCCAAATACATCGGGCAAAGTGAGAAGGCGGTTAGGGACATTTTCGACAAGTGAGTGATGTTTAATAATAAGGCTGGAAAATTTAGGTCGATTTCGCATTCAGAATGCTATACTGAAAGATGCTTAAAAATCCAATTGGTCCCAGGCACCCTGAGATGGGTTGAACCGTGACCTTACGCAATCCGGGCGACTGCTCTAACCACAGCTACCCAACTAAGAGGACTGTCGAATCTAGCATTTGTTACTTTTTCTCATCAATGTTCAGGCAATCCACCTAAACAGCCGCAAGAAATATTTTTACAAATATTTAAATGATAAAGACAAAAATTTGTTCTAATTATTATATTTTATCACAACACAATGCTACACTGAAAAATATTCTTTAATTTATTAAACAGGTTTTTTAATCAAGAAATCATTTACAATAAAAAAAACGTTAATATTAAATATTTCTTGCTGTTTTAATACATTTGACTGATCAAACTTTTTTTTTATCATAATTTTCTGTATACTTTAGGAGACCTTCACCATTTTGCTCGATAATACTATCATATCGTTGGTTCAGAAATTTTGCGATTGTTGCGACTATATCACTTTCACGAAGGCTTCTAAACCGTTAGACCCGTTTTATCTGCAGTCATTACACCCACCAATCCGCAATGGGCCCGCTGTAAAGTTAATGGCTAGTTTTCGTTAGATAAAATCTCTTTCGACAAGGTTTGTACCCCAGCAGTGACGACTATTAGACTGGTGATGATCAGTTTTAAATATAATATTATAAACATATAACTTGTATCTCATAGAGCTGACGTGAAGCGGCCATGTATCCTGTTCTTTGATGAGTTTGACAGCCTGGCACCCAAGTGAGTATTTACTATTATCTTACGTATAGTCTATCACTAATATAGAGGGAGGGAAGATGAATATGATCTTCGTTCTCGTTCTTCATCGTAATCTGGAAGAAAAGTAGAGTAGCTTTTGATTAAGTTGTATAATAGTACAATATAAAAACAAGAGTGCAAACAAAAATGTATACAATGGAGGTATATTCCATCATCTGTGACTTATATTTAAAGTAATATTCATTGGAATTTGTTTCTACGTAGGCTCAAATCCATACTATTAATTTTTATTTTCTCCAAATTTTTGACGCATCTTAATTATTGGTTCGATAAGGAAGTAATATTTTTTTCATTAATTTCATTCATTAGCCCTTTTACGTCCCCACTGCAGGGGCTCAGGCCTTCCTTATGGATGGTTAAGGAGGATGGGCCATGACCCTCCACTCTGGCCCAATGCGGATTGGAGGGTATTAACGACTGCAATATGCAGCCGGGACCAACGGCTTAACGTGCCTTCCGAAGCACGGAGTAGCTCGAGATAATAATTTTTTGGTCACCTATCCCGTGACCGACCCTTGCGAAAGTTGCTTAACGACTACGATTGCGGGCCGCGGCGCTTATCCACTATGCCACCGAGCTACTCTTAAAGTAATATACATCCGTTGCATAAATTATCGAAAAATGCATCGCTTTGGAGTAGTATTAGCATTTCGAAGATAGACGAAATGTCAATTTGATTCGTACGGGTAGTAAAGTTAACGATCCGTGTCGCCGGCAAAAACGTGGTAACGTACGGTATTAAGAAAATATGTTATTATTGTTTATTTCATTTACCAACAGCTGTTACAATATACTTATGTCTATTTGATTAAAAGTTTAGTGGTTTAAAATTAAATGCACAACCAATAACAGGGAAAAACCTCATGCATATAAAACAGAACAATACAACTAACTTACAAAAAAAAAAGAAACTCAAAGATCAAAACAATAGTAATTACAAATAAAAGATAATACTCGAGTCATAATTATCACTTGCTTTTTCTCGAGAATCGCGATAAACTATCCGCAAGCACATCTGAACGATTGTTTAGGCGCGGGCACGACTCGACCGGCGTGACGGATCGCGTAGTGAACCAGCTGCTGTCCCGGCTGGACGGCGCGGAGGGCGGGGCGCGGGGCGCGGTGGTGGCCGCCACCTCGCGCCCCGACCTCGTGGACCCCGCGCTGCTGCGGGCCGGCCGGCTGCAGCGGCACGTGTACTGCTCGCTGCCGGACAAGGTAACGCTCATTCACAAAGGTCATTGCTCAGATTCCGGGGTGACTAGCTGAAGCACATGAGACAACGAAGGTAAGTACAACACTCACACCCGGGACAATGGAAAAAAGGCAATTTTCAACATTGATTCGATCGGCAATCGGACCTTGAAACTTATGGAGGTCGACAAAAATGTTGAAAAAACTTTATTGTTTACCCCAAACACAAAACATACATAGAACACAACATTGATTGAGCTATGTGTCACAATCGACGGTCTTATTAAAAATTAATGACAGTACCAGTTTGTAAATAATCATCTTTTAATCTCTAGAATTAGTAATCTAGTACTTACTTTAACATAAATTGAGACCTTCTTTTCTCATAAAAAATATCAGTCTTTTAACCTGTTAACAATAAAATATAATACGAGTATCGCCACCAAACCGCCACGCGCCGCTCAACGGTGAACAATACAGTAGAGCCGCACAGAGCGCCGTCGAACGAACGAACTAAGGAGCGACGGGTCTGCGAACTAGTTCTCGCAGTTTGTCCATAAGATCGCTCTTCCGAACTAGGTCGTTCGCGAACTACACAAGACTAGTAAATACATATTACATAAACAAATAATTCCTACATAAAAACATATTATCTAAATATCCAAGTGAATTTTTTAAAGTATTTTTCATTAAGAATATAATCAATAATATTTAAATAATAACAATAAATCCATACAATAACGTAATTCCCAAGATTTTTGGTCTCGAAACCCCAATTAACTTAAATTTTTTTTTGCGAAATTAGATTTTGATAACTAAAGAAATTAACTTCTAGTTAAAATATTTTTCATATGAAACTTTCAAGAAGAAAGGTTACAAATTAATATTGTAAGCATTGCGAAGTCGTAATTAAATGTGTTATAGAGTATACCAATGTTTTTATTAAACTCTCGGATTGAATGCGGACCTGTGACCCTATAGAGCAGAGTCGTTGTGTCACATTCACCACTAACCTATTAACACACCCACTGCTTATGCAAAGGTTCCCTGACGATGGAATCAAATCGAATAGGGAGAATGGTATTGGAATCTGTTAAAGTGTGCAGATGCAGCCGGGTTCGACGTCTTAACTTGTCTTCCGAAGCGCGGAAGAGATCAAGATAATAAATTTTTGGTGACCTATTCTCTGTCTGATCACTGATCAGCCCTCGCGAAAGAACGTGCTAACCACTGCGTCGTGGAGCGCCCCTTCATGGATATAGAATGATAGCAAATAATCAAGTCTTGGAGCACCACCCCCTCATGGATATATATTGATAAAAAATAATCAAAAATTCCCTACCAGAATGGTCGTCTCGAAGTGCTCAAGAGTTTGTCCAAGAGTGTGACCGTAGACGAAGACGTTGACCTCGTGGATTTGTCGGCTCGCACCGAGGGCTTCTCCCCGGCCGATCTGAAGTCGTTACTCGTCACCGCTCAACTCGCCCGCCTCGAGGCTCATCTGGTATGTACAACTCAGTCGAATGACATTAATGAAAATACTATGTATTAACAAGATTTTCGTGCCATGAAATAAGTATCCGATATATATGTTTATTTTTTTTATGATTAAATTACCCAATATTTTCCTGATTTAGTTTAAATAGGAAATCTATTTTATAAGAATAATTAAACTACCTATTACAATTTGAATATTTAAAATCTTGATTTAATGAATTATGCTCGATGCGATCAGAGAAAATGTGTCTTCTTTCCGACTCTACCACATAATTTTGCAAGCTACTTATATCGAATTACTTATTTAATAAAAAAACTGACCTAACATGAAAACATATTAAAAGTTAAGAATCGTCGAATGCTGAAGTGTAAAAAGCCTGCTGTTCTAGTTAGGCTATTAGCATTGAAGCGGTCAAAAACATTGGGCTTTATTAGGCGACAGTACCTTATATTTCGTTTTTTTTTGTCAATGAAAATATAATTTTCATACAGATGAGCAGTGAGAGTAAAAATATGGAAACAGTAGTGGTCCGTCGGGAAGATGTGGAAATGGCGCTTGCCGACACTAAACCGTCGCTGTCTGCTGAACAACGGCTGTTCTACGACACTATGTAAGTTGTTGTTTGGGAAATAACTTACCTTTGAAATGGTAAAATAATTTTACAAATAGATACCGTAGTCTTGACTGTTTGGAAAAAGTATTTACAAACTTTTATATGATCATATTAAATTACCTACAACAAATTGCCTTCTACGAAATATCAAGCCGTTGAATGTTCCATTCTCAAAAACAAATTACAGACGGAATACTTTCCTATTACGAGCGGGTAAGTCCTTTAATGATTTGAGCACGATTTTGGATCTATCCGAGAAATAAGGGAAAAAAGAAGAAACGTATTATTTGCGTGTGTTCTTTGTGTAATATGTGTCTTTGTCATACCTCACAACTACCGAGTGAACTCAAAATTGTTACCTAATTTTAAGGCTAACTGTGTGGATCTATAATTGGTTATCTGATTTATGTATTGATACTGTAAGTTCATTTATGCAACCGTTGATCTACCATGAAAAATAAAATAAAATAAAAATAAAATAAATAAAATTACAAAAACTTATTTGACATAATTTAAATTTTCCCGCGAAAACCTTTTAATCAGTGAGTGTCTCAATTCTGGTAATGTTTACGTAATGATCACATTTCAATAGAATCCACCTACTTCCATTTTGCCTTTGTACTATTTACTTGAAGACCAATGTTATGCCATGTATTCTTCTTAAATCTATGATGACAGATATATTTATTATGTTGTGTTCTAGTAACAATAACTGTGTCATAAACTGTTGCAGTTGAAGTGCTATTGAGTTTCCTTGAATTGTTTATTGAAATGTGACGTCACTCGATTTCGGTTCTTGAAATTTACCCCAATCTATTTATTCTGTTACAGATATAGAAGATTTAGAGGCGAAAGTCTATCACCAGAACAGAGGCTTATGGCGATGCAGCTGCAAAAGCAAAGAGTCACGTTGGCGTAAACAATTTTTGTTGTACAAATTGTATGATTTGGGATATTCACATGCTTACAAAACAAAACTGATGCAAATTAAAACTAGATATCATAGAGCGCTTTCGGTTGCTGTCGCTGAGTCGCTGGCGGTTTGGTCGCGCGACCATTTTTAAGTAACGCAACTGTAGCGTTTTTAAGTCGCGCTATAGTAACACGCCTATATGTGACAACGCTATTGATGGTGATATAAATATAGGTAGTATTACTCAATATATGAATTTCCATTTGATACGAACAAAGTTCATACTTAAGTAGCATTCACTCGTCAAAGTAATGTATTTGTATTTTGTAAATAATTAAAGACAATAGATAAATTCCCCTGTGTAGAAACATCCTATATTCTTACAATTGCATTGCTTAAAAGTACTGTGAAAAATTTTAATACACTTTTACACATTTACACAGAGTAGAAAAAGCTTCAATTTTGATAAATACGGATGGGGCCTAGATTGGAGTCATGAACGTTTTAAGATAGAAGAATATCCTCTCATAGACAAGTCTGCGTCAATTCCTTTTCAAAATCAAAAATGGACTTGAATGGACCAGTTCTTCATCTGTAAATATGAAAGGTTTACGTTTTGAACGTTTGGACATGTCTAGAAGAGAGGTTATATCGCTACACTTTTGTCGTTAATGTGTGCGTTAAACATACAAAATGGAAGGCGACAATCGTTAGTAAGACACGTCGCCATGCAGTTTTATAGGTATTAGAAAGTTTCGTCTATAAGATATTTTGTTCATAAATTTTGTATAGCAGTAATCTGTCTTCAAACTATCGTGACTTAAGTCTGCTCTCAGTCTAAGTGAAATGAGTTTAATGTTTAAGTGAATTAGATTTGGGCTTTTTTTAATGAGATATCGCGCGAAACCGTTAAGTGATTAAATAGCTGTGATTAAAACAATGTGTTGTATTTAAAAGAATAGTTAACAAATAAGACTAAGGTACGGTATCAGAAATATATACCCTCATTTGTTATTTGCAGATAAGAAAGATTATTGAATGGGTTTTTAGGTTATATATTTTTAATACCGTATTTCCAACTATGAACTTAATAAATAAATGTTGACCGAAAATTATAATGTGCATCAAATCATTCATTTTGATATGCTTTCCGGAAATTTTACATGAGCGTTTTAAATAATTCTGATGTTTGAAAACTAAATGGTTAAGAAGAGTTGGAATTTCTTGGGTAGTTAAGTTAAATTTTGGTCAGTATGTTATCTTAAATAAGGCTATAACATTACGTTGTGGAAAAAATTATAATCACAAACTAATTCAATGCACTTGTATTGTCACAATTTGAGGTGCTTATGATGGCTAGTCATGTTAATAAAGCTGAGATGTTCCTATTTTAATAATCGCAATACTGGTCTCTTGACCAGGACCAGGTATTTTATGATAAATGTGACTCGATAAATTATTTTCAATACCCGTTGTGAGTATAATTTATAATAAGCATAAATTATATTTGTTTGAGAATGGTATTATTATTTTTGTAGCGTAAAGCTTTGTTATTTTTTAATAAATTAAATTGGGACGTTATTGTATATTTATTTCCATTTATTGAAATAACTCCAATTATATTTACAAAGGACTGTCTTTATCACGTCACGTCATTAATTCCACTCTTGTTTAAGAGGATCATTTTTGAAGTGTACGGAATAATTATAACCATCATGTCTTTTTTTTTAAAGCGAACAGAACAACTGAATTCAAAATAGACGTGTGCACGTGTTAATTCCGTTCCGTATTTCCATATTTAGTAAAATTTTAATGAATACAAAAGTAAAGTCAATGATCAGATGCAAACAAATAAAGAATCGAATCTTTCTTCTTTAATTACAGCTGTCAACAATGAAATCTTGTACAATTAATGTAGCACTCGTTTACAAGATGGCGTTGGCAGAAATCATAAATTCAATACTTACCCTTATTTGTCTACTCTAGCTAACCAGCTACAAGCACACCTAGCGAACGTGTATTCTCTGTAGCTGACCTTACTAAAACGGTTAAACGATTGCTTCTAACTGGGAATAATATCAATAAAATAATTTCTATTCATGATAACTATTAGGTTGGGGAAAAGTCTTTTCGCATATAGTATGCATAAAGTTGTAATAAAATCTTTCTAACTATACCATTTCTATGTGGCTGGTTGCGGTATTATTAAAAAGTTTAAATTTTAAAGAAGATTTCGAATTCAAATTAGGGAAAATCTGTGATTTTCATTCGTTTTTCTAACTGGTGATAAAAACTGGATCACGTATGACAAGATAATGCGAAAAAAATCGTGGTCAAAGGTCGGTCAGGATTTACAGACTGTGGCGAAAGCCGGGTTAACAGGCAAAAAGGTGATGTTGTTTGTATGGGGGGGGGGGGGGGGTGGAATTATGAGCTCTTACCGTCAAGCAGCATCATCGATTCTGAACTCTACTGCGAATTACTGATGAAATTAAAGCAAGAAGTTGAGAGAAAGCAGCCAGAATTAATCAATAGAAAGGGAGTGGTTTTTCATTAAATTAAGAGTTTGGCTGGCAGGTGTTAATGCGTCTGACATCATTTGACATAACGACGACGTTAACGCCGCCATTTACGCCGCCGCCACTGAATTTTTAGCTCCACGCCGGCGCCGCCGCCGAAGATTTTGGCATCGACGCACATGCCTAATTCAAAAGCATTATATTTAAAAATTCAACGAGTTGAGATATCGATAGTCTTTTTTTGAAACTATAAAAATTCTGATTTCTATATTTTTGAAAGGCTGTTATTATTATTTCAAATTGTCGCTTCTTGCCGCTTACCACGCGTAGTCAGTCATATATTTTTAAATAGTGAGACATCTGTCGGATGTCTTGTTGAATCTCCGCTAAATCCTAAAAATTCTGCTCTTTTATTTGACTGTTAGGACGAACCAAGAAGTTAATATATTTTTACATTCAAATTTCTTGGGTGGAACAAAGTTCACCGTGCCGGTAAATAAAAAACATATAGATAGTATAAACTCTGTTGCTTACGTAACGTACTGTCAATATTTTGAAAAGCAACGGCGAATAAATATTATTTATTTCCATGAAATGTAAGCTTTTCATAAGGATGCAATATTAATGAATCGGGATTAAATGTTAATCCTCACTGATCCTAAATTGACTAATCAAGAGATCGTTATTAATAGCTTTAGGTATTTCACATTCTGCAACGAACTGGTTGTAACAGTTATCAATTAGATGGTATCCATATTCAATCTCCTGAGATGGCGCGCCGCGGGGTATCGTTAATTACGTAGAGCCTGCCGCAGCGCATTAGCACTCCGCGAGCTATAACAAAAGTTTGCTCATCAGAAACATTAGGCGCTTTCCTGTCTCTCGATTATGCGCTTTGTGAGTGAAGATTAGCACTTGCAAAAATAAAGATAAGTAATTTTTATAATGTTGTCAAGTGAAATTGCCTCTTTATAATATTAGTATAGATCATGATAGCTTCGTGTAACTACTTAACTAATGCTTAGATTATATTTTATGTCCAGATACCGTGCCTTGTCTATACCTACCTAAAAACGTTTCTCCCGTGGGAGAGCAATATTACTACATAATACATTTTTGCAATGAATATCTATACTTATATAAAAAGCTGAAAGGGTTTGGTTTAACGTGCTGATCTCACGAACTATTGATTCGGATTGTGTAGTCTGTTTAGGTATTGAGGAAGATAACTGGATAACATTACGCCATAACTAATAGGAGTGGGGAAGCAATGAAAAATGATGCAATAAGGGGAAACCACGCGGACGTTGCCGCTAGCGGGGAGTTAATTTAATATATGTAAGTATGTAGTTCATAATTCACGAACAAATCGGTGGACATAATTAATTACATAAAAAATAGACATGCCTGTTGAATTTACAAATTTCTCCTTTCCGATTTTGAATGAATGCAAACTACGTATCTTTTTGTCGTCTAAGCAATGTGGTGGAATCTGATAAAACACATATTTTATTTTGTTATAAATACAAAACTACTAATCCGATTTTTCGACTTTGTAGTCGTTTAAAAATTATCGTTTCGATGGTAAAATTATGCATAAATTACATTCACAAGTAAGAATAATTGCTCGTCATTCAAGGGACTAATTTACTGACTTTTTAAAAAATCTTAGACTTAAGTCTACAAACTAATATAATAGCTTCAGATTCAAGGCTGTAACTATAGGATGAAGTTCTTGAAATTAAAGTAGATGTCGCTATGTGCTTTTTAATATTTGTAGAGTTCAAACAGATTCTATGATATGCATTCCGATTTATTTCCTTTGTAAAAATAATAATAATAAATTGAGTTTTGAAACATAATACTTTTTTCTCCTTATTTCATACAGAGATGTCAAATTGAAAATTCATTAGACTGTGAAATTATTTTCCATCACAATATTTGTTTTTGCGCATATTTCAGTTATTTATTATTTTATGTATAAAGGAATGAAAATCAATGGCCTTAGCCATAGAATTTATGCATTCTATATAATCCAAGGCTTTAGCTCATTTTTGTGTCGTTATTTCAGAAGAAATCACAATAATTTAACATTAAAAGGTTTAGTGTTATAATTTTTTATTACAGTTTATTTGAGCGTTATTTTTTTATAAAGCCATTGAAAATCCAGTGACTTTTGGTTTAAGCACTCTTAATCTATAAAAATTAGGATCCACCAACAAATCGCCTCTACCAGTCTCCAAAGAGTTATTTTTAATAAACTTCATTTTTCCTCCATGCATTTTGTCTATAAGGATCCTAACACGTGTGCTAAGTTTTAGAAGTATAATACTCGTATGTGTATGTTTGCTTGCTTATTTCTCGCAACTTAGACATTAGATCATCAAAATTGATTCGTTAGTTTTGAACCGACTTGAAAATTAAATTTAAAAAATCTAAAAGAGCATGAAACCGATTTCAAAAAGCTTTACAAATGTAAAGGATAAACTGTGAAACTTCTATTTAAGTCGGGTAGTTAATTAACTACACAATATGGGTTTGTTATTTTTTTTTATATTGTCATCCGATATTTCCGATCACCATCCATATCTAAATGCCTAGCTAAGTGCGATTTAGGATTAGTCAGGCGTATATTTTAACTGTTGTCACATACCTTTCCACCTGCTGCTCCATTTTTAACACATAAAAGATAATTTAGGGACGAAAAAGCTAAAACTTGCCTATTTACGTATCCTACAGTAGGTATATTATAAGACCGTGTTTGCCTAGTCTATAAAGATACTAACACATAACATAAACATTAGCATAATGTTACTCAAATGCTTATTCTGATCAAGTGAAAATAATTATGACTTCTAGCAGTCTGCTTATTTGTTACTTGTCAGATAAGCTTGCTTTATTGAAAAACTTAGCCAAGGCAGCGTTGCTTGATTAAGATTAGTTCATAAGTTGCACAATAATTTAGATTGAACGGTGATTTTCAACTGCGCGCTCCGAAATTTCGCGGTACAAAGATCCAAGTTGTATGGAAGTGCCAGACAGTATCAGTATTTCAGCAAATTAAAGAGTAGGACTTGTAACGGATACGGGTAAGTTTAGATGTTGGTAGGTGGTTAAAAAAAAGCATCCTTAGAAGATAGATCTTGATTTCAAATACAGTTAATTCATATTTATATTTCATATTTTATTTTTATATACCAAATAAATATTTTTGATTTGATTTGATTTTGATTTGATTTTACTTTAGACTTTTTCTATTACATATTCTTTTTAAAAATAATTTTTAATTTTTAATAGAAAACGTGTTGCTGTGGGATGATTTTAAACTGACATTCAGAAAGAGCATGACGTGGTTTAAATTACGAAAAGCGAATATAAAAAAAACGATCTTAAAGATCAGTGGAAAAAATGCGGGAATCTAGGACAAAATAAACGATGTACAGGCTGAAAGTGTAGCCTGGTAGAGATTGCTACCTTAGCAATAAGGCCGCCTTTTGCATCGATGTTTTTAATAAAAATTGTTTTCATGTTTATGTGTTAATGGGCAATAAAGTATATTCATTTATTCATTCATTCATTCAAAGTGTCCTATAGGTTAATTAAAAGTCCAGTTACTTATGATTCAAGAGGTATCTATGAATCCATAGAATTTGCGATTAAGGCGTTTACAGATGTTAATTTTATTACCTAGTTTGCTAGTGTGAGTCGAATCTTATAATGATGGAACTAGAAACTGAGAGACTTCTGTAATAAAACGAAGCAATAAAGCTTTGGCTCGTTTGATTTGTCTTTAAAAAGGTATTGGTTTTAAAAGCCTGATGGTGATACTTGAAGTTGGCTATTATTGATAGCTCATAAAAAATAGGGATACCTGAGGAAAGCTGAAGTAATATGAGGTTCAGGTGCAAGACAACTTTTCTAACTCAATTTAAATATTAAACTTTAGATGAATCCAAAATCTACAGGGGCTCTATTTTTGAATCATTCGTCTCGCGTCGAGCGCTCGTTTTCTACTGATTTTCGTTCGACTTAACAAATTCGCCATTTCTAAATCGCTCGA